AAGGAGAATATTTGTAGCTCATTTTAGGCAATAATAATCAAAATGTTTACATTTTGATTGTTATTAATCAATTACATATTGCAATTACATATTAATGTAATTAATATCAATTACATTGATATTAATTCTATATTTACTTGTCCATTTTAACAAATCTCCCTTATAACATTTAGTCCTTTTCTTATATGTCCATGTTTCTAACACTGGAGTTTTAAAGGATCAGAAAGAAAGTAATAGAACGGTTGATAAGAAGGCTACTGATTTCTGAGCTGCAATAATGCATATGTTATTGGACAGTATAAAGGTGGTCTTCACTGCTAATCACTCAGGGATCCTTCAAAGTTACAACAGATCTCTCTCGAGCTACTTCTGACCTGGTTCCAGAGTTTCAACACCCATATCATCCCCCCCAATGGTCACATGATCACATTTTGAGTGCTTGACGACTGGCTTCATTTACAGTCTTTTGCAGTGTCCTGCAGTCACGTAAATTCAATTTTCAGCATTCTTTGCCAGTTTCTGGCATAACTTCTGATTTCCAGCAAAAAAAAAAAAGCCTATTTTTAAAAAATCAGGTTCGTTTAACAACCACTGCATTTGCTTAATGACTGCTAAGGGGGGCTTAATAACAACTGAATTCACATGGTACTTGACTTAATGACCGACCACAACTTAAGAACTGAATTATGGTCATGAATTGATTACCTGGATTTATTTTTAAATTTTTATACTACCTTGCAGCCAAAAGCAGTTCATTTTTTAAAAAACAAAGCTCTTTAGATTAGATTAACAGAGTTGGCAGGGACCTTGTAGGTCATCTAGTCCAACCCTCCACCCAAGCAGAAAACCCTACACCATTTCTGGTCAACTCCAGTCCAGTTTTTTCTTGATAGCTTCCAGTGATGAAGCTCCACGACTTCTGAAAGCAACTTCTGTTCCATTGGTTGATTGCTCTCGCTATCTTGTTAAGATCATGATTGTTAAGTGAATGACTGCAGTTGCTAAGTGAGGAGCATGGTTGTTAAATGAATCTGTCAGAAGGTCGCAAAATGGGATAACATGACCCCAGAAGACTGCAACCGTTCTAAATATGAATCCGTTGCCAAGCATCCGAATTTTGATCACATGACGATGGGGTATGCTGCAATGATTCTAAGTGTGAGAAATGGTCATAAGTCACTTTTTAAAGTGATGTTGTAAGTTGGAACGATCATCAAACAAAATGTCGTAAGTTGAGGACTATCTGTAATTGTACAGATTTGCTTGGCTTGTATTACTTTTTGTCTTGATACATCCTTTAGCATTTTATCAAGATGTGTTTTTTGTTGTAAGTCCACTCCCATGGATTTACTGGTCTTCAGTCTGAAAGCTTTGTCTCTGCCATCCAGAGCTGCTCCATTGTTAGGAAGTCTTGTTATGCTCTTTGTTTTTCTCTTTAGTGTATTCACCGAGATTTGGCGGCCAGGAATGTGTTGGTAACGGAAGACATTGTGATGAAGATTGCTGATTTTGGCCTTGCTCGAGACATTCACCACATAGATTATTACAAAAAGACAACTAACGTGAGTGGCATCTCTCAAAGGGGGCTCAAATTATTCCATTTTCAAGCCTTGTGTCAGGTTCCAAATAGCATCCAAAATTAAATCAGAGTCCGAGGCAAAGGATTCCTCAATTTATTAAAAGAGCCATGTTGGCACATCTGGGAAAACCTGAAACTGAAAACTTCCCGGTTTTCCCCCCAAATTGATGCCCCCCCCCCCCCCCATACACACACAAGTCCATTACATGGTCCAGTCCTCCACTGCCACGCTGGCAGCTTCCACCCATCCAGTTCTGGACAGGTGCAGAGACA